CATTACCAGTCTCAAATTGTGAGTCTAAACTAACAGAGAATTCAGACAGATACTACATTACCAGTCTCAAATTGTGAGTCTAAATTAACAGATTTCAAATAGATACTACATTACCACTCTCAGATTGTGAGTCTAAATTAACAGATACTTCAGACAGATACTACATTACCAGTCTCAAATTGTGAGTCTAAACTAACAGAGAATTCAGACAGATACTACATTACCACTCTCAGATTGTGAGTCTAAATTAACAGATACTTCAGACAGATACTACATTACCAGTCTCAAATTGTGAGTCTAAACTAACAGAGAATTCCGACAGATACTACATTACCACTCTCAGATTGTGAGTCTAAATTAACAGATTTCAAACAGGTACTACATTACCAGTCTTAAATTGTGAGTCTAAATTATCAGAGAGTTCAGACAGATACTACATTACCACTCTCAGATTGCGAGTCTAAACTAACAGATACTTCAGACAGATACTACATTACCAGTCTCAAATTGTGAGTCTAAACTAACAGAGACTTAGTATTCTGTAGTAAAATGCAAACGGAATTCCAATAATCTTCAAGATTAGAGTTTTTACTCGGAGGAAAAGGGGTGTAAGTTTAATGAAATACATCTAGATTGTTCGATACCCATTTGTATAGTTTGTTCTCTCATAGATAAATAAGGATTGGAGAACGTGAGGTCATGTATCTGCTTAGAAACCAAATAATACATAACCCAGTTATTTCTGGATGAAGAACCGTGACGAACGCCCTCTGGCCACAGGTTTTAGTTTCAAGTGGGATTACTGGATCACGTTTAAGCAGTGCAAGTGTAATAAGGTTTTTAAGGTACAAAACACGTGCTTTAATGTAAATTGGTTAAACATTTTCTTAAAGCGTTTGTGCGAAGTCAAACTACGTTTTAAATACTCATCTTTTTTGTTGTTGTTTAGGAAAATTCATTTTTAGAACGCTTTGTGCGAAATGATAATTTCCTACATAAATGTAAACCTCACACGGGTGATTTAACAGAAAACAAAGATAAGTATTTAACACTTCGTTTTTAACTAAGTTACATTTTACACGATTGAGCCCAATCTGAATTGTAGCAAAAGCGTTTTTTTTTCCTTCATTACAATAACGCTCTCTTTTTAAGCTGCGGCATAGCGGCTCATAGAATAGTTTTGAGTTGTTTTTTTTTTTCAAGTACAAACTTTTAGCTCATAGCTCCGTCATCTCTTGACCGATCTGAGATCTAATTATAGCCGCGGCTATTGAGGATTCCCTCTTTTTTAAAGATATAGCTTCTTCGCGTGCTTGATATGGCTCGTACCATAACAGTTGTTATTAAAATTGTCCATCTATATATATACACTGAGTGGTCACAAGTAAATAGACACCCAATTTTTCGTCATTTAACTGATTTATACTAACTAATTTGTGTTCACAGAGCACTATGTAAATGAAAATGGTCCACATACTAATTATCTTGTGCTACAACATGCCTAGAACTCAAGGTTCTCTCGAATTGTCAGATTTTGTTAGAGAAAGGATAG